CCTTTCCTCCCTCTGCTTTAGAGGAAACAGTAGGTTCTAGTCTGCGTGTGTGAGTTTCCAGTAAACCTAAATCTTGAGGTTTCAACCTTTCCACCTTTTGTTTTTAGACCTAAAGAAGCCTCTAAGATTTAAGATTTAAAGAACTCAAGGCGTCTTTTTTTTTTAAGCTCTTAAGAGTACCTGCATCAATTTGCTCAGCATCAAACTGAAGACCAGTTGCACCCTCATCCAAAATCTCTGGCTCTTCTATCTATAACCTATAGTTCTTCTAAAGGAGATCCTCCAAATTTTCCTTCCACCACCTGACTATTTCTGCATTCCAGTTACCTTGGAACTCAGATGTCAGAGCACAAAATTGACATCGCCCCCAAGTTAGTGTGTTCTAATAGTAAAGTTGGAAAAGCACTGAAAAAGGATTTGTTTCGCTTCTTAGCAAGGTAGAGACATTCGTGAATGACTAGCTATACGGAAAGTTGAGAAAAATTTCAGATCTAGTCTAATGCCTGATACCAGACATTATTCACCCATTGTTGCTTGAAGTTGTGAAATGTGATTCACTTTTTACTGTTTGTGGTTGCTGCATCACTTTCAGTGTGACTGGAGCTGGAGAGTCCGCGCCCAGTGACACAAGCTGTTACCTGTCAGACAGGAATATAGTGATCCAGGTCCAGACGGGAACAGACACTCAGCTGGGAGAGCTTGTTTTGAAGCATTGCCGGAATGCTGGTAATGAAAGTAGAACTAAAGTCGATAAAAAGTAACTTGGCATAACTTCCTTAGGAGTCTAGGTACTGGAGGATCGAGGATGAAACGTAGTACTATGTCAACTGGATCACTGACCACGGCATCATCTCATTGGAGATTTCAGAGGGTCCAGGAGATGTCAGCAATGGATTAGAGATGGGACAGTGCAAAGTGCTCATATGATAGGTCAGGAAAAATAGTTGCTGTGACCTTTGAACAGAGAGGGTTGCTTACGACACCGACTGTCTGCCGCCTACAATACAGTTTTGAGATTCCTTCCCAGGCGCCTCAACCCCCACTCACATCTTGTGTTAGTTGACCTCAGTAGGTTACGTGATTGCATGAGGCAATGTCTCATAATGGTTTCACCAAAAACCTCTGGTGATAATGACCTAAACCTTGTTTCACACTTCCTGTGATGAGGCACATGATCAACATTGGGTCAGTGAAACTCTTAAAGGATAACCCCACTGGCGTTTAAATACCTGGGACTCTTTACGATTTGGTTTTAGACTCGAAGAAGCTCTCAAATAAGGGGTGAAACGTCTTCACAAAACCTACACAAGTCAAGTCACTTTATTTCAAGCTCATTACAATAGAACGAGGGGGAAAATTCAGGCTTAGGACTTCTTTAAATGCAGAGTTTTAGACAGCTTCATCTACACTTGGCTCTGTTATATAGAATCACAGGTGACCGAGCTCAAGAGTTTCACCAACCTGCTATTTATATCTTCTGCTGATTAGGGTCAACCAATCAGAAGAATGTTGGCTTAAGACAGTGGTTCTTAAAATTTTTCTGCCATGGCTCACTTTAGAAGCTACAGAAAATAAAAATGTCCGGCAAACCCCATAATAAAATAATCTTCATTTTAATAAAACAAACAAGGCACAATAGCATGAGCTATAACCCGATTTCAAGAAAAGTTGGGTCGTTCTTTCAAATTACACAAGTCAATATTTTATTCACAACAGAACATAAATAGCACAACATGTTTAAACTGAGAAATTATACAACTTCATCCACTAAATGAGCTCATTTCAAATTTCAAGCCTGCTACAGGTCCCAAAAAAAGTTGGCATGGGGACAAAAAAGGGCTGAAAGGGCAAGAAAGTTCAAAAATATTTACCTGGGATAACATCTAACAAGTAATTCATTTAACTGATCTCAGTATTCGGTCTGTAACATGATTAACAATATAAGGGATGTATTAGAAGGTCTCCTCTGTTCCTCAATGTCACATTGCAAAGGCTTTGCAACTCTCATTATCTACAGTGCATATCATCATCAAAAAATTCAGAGAAACTGGAGCTATCTCTGTGCATAAGGCACAAGGCCAAGGATTATTATTGGATGCCCATGGTCTTCGGGCCCTCAGACAACACTGCATCTCTCATCAACATGATTGTGTCACTGACATTACTAAATGGGCTCAGGAATACTTCCAGAAACCACTGTTGTTTAACACAGCGGTCCCCAACCCCCGGGCCTCGGACCGGTACCGGTCCGTGAGTCGTTTGTTACCGGGCCGCGAGAGTTGAGGCTCAGGTGTGAAATGTATGGTTTTCAGGGGTTTTATCGGTTTTCAGCGTTATTTTGTTATCATTTTTATTGTTAACTCAGTTTTCCTGGGTCTTTTCATGTGTGTTATGAATAAATCATCTTTTTTTCATTACCGGTACTAGTTTTATTTTGTTGTATTTATCCGCGACATCTTAAAGGCCGGTCCGTGAAAATATTGTCGGGCATAAACCGGTCCGTGGCGCAAAAAAGGTTGGAGAACGCTGGTTTAACACATTCCACTATGTCTTGTTGAGATCTAGCAAGAGTAGATAGTTGCTTGGACAAAATTCACAAGATCACACAAGATTTCAAAGTGCAGGAAAATCTCTGGGGTTATAAGAGGCTGTAAAGCATACACACACAACGTGTATGCTATTGCTATTTATTGTGGTTTAACATGTCAAGGACAAACATATAATATTGTCTGTCTCTCTGTGTTAGCCCTGTGATAGACCGGTGACCCGTCCAGGGTGTACCCTGTTCCTCGACTCCAACCTTTTTTTTAAGCTTCAGTTATACGAAACATACTAAATAACTGACAAATAACTAACCACATCTGCTTAATCATCTCCAACACCCTGAAGGACAGCGGGGAGGACAGCATAATTTGCAGTCCACAAATATAATTAAAGAGGACATGAGCGATTTTGGATTTTGCAAAGCATGGCGTTCCCTTCAACTCAACCGTAAGGAATATACTTTTTTTCCCTCACATGTCCATCACTCATACTCTTGTCTGGATTATTTCCTAGTCAACAGCACACTGACACTGAAATACACCCTATAGTTGTCAGCAATCATGCTTCTGTATCTTTAATTTTAATACATAAGAAGATCATTCCGCCAAGTAAAAACTGGAGATTTGATACATCATTGCTTACAGATGAAGATTTTATTAAATATTTTAAAAAACAGTGGGCTTTATATTTAGATTACAATGATCTCTCCGCAACATCCACATCTGTTCTATCTTTTTGTCCCACCTTCGTTATTATACTTGATGTGGGGGGTGGGTAAAGGCGTAGAGTGTCTGGGGATTGCCTAGCGACAAGTTTTTTGGGTGGGTTCAACCCGGGGGCTGTGGTCATGACCTGGATGGGGCTCTGGTCGCTCTTGGGTGGTATTTTTCTGGCGGCTGGGGGAGGGTCTGTGTCGGCGGACGTAGGTTACCGGCCGTGGGTCTGGGACGGGTTTGGTGACTTGGGGTTCTGGGGATGCTCCGCCTCCGGGCTGGGGTTCTGGCTGGGCCTTGGTGGCTTGGGTCCTGGTTGGTGTGTCGCCAGGGTTGTGGGTAGGTGCATGCCTGGGGGCCCACCCCTAGCGCATGGGGGCCTCTGGTGCGTCATGGTTGGAAAACTGTAATTCATTATTATCAGGATGTCCTATTACTCCCTGAAAAGCCTTCAGTTGATCTAAAATACTGCAACCAGAGTAATGACCAGGACTAGAAAGAGAGCGCACATCTCACCCCGTATTCGCTGCCCTTCATTGGCTCCCTATTAAATCCAAAATCGATTTTAAAATCCTGCTCCTCATATATGAGGTCTTGAATAATAAGGCCCCTGCTTTTAAGGTCCAACCCTACTTCCCTACTTTTAAGATCAGGCTTAAATGTTTGTTTTTGATAAAGCATATACTTAGGGTTGGATCAGGTGACCTTTAATCCTCCCTTATGCTGCACTGACTGTTTCTTCTTCAGTCACCTTTTTCACTCACAATGTGTTTATACCTCTCTGCATTTAATCATTAGTTGTTATTAATCTCTGGCTCTCATCCACATCACGTGTTTGTCCTTTCTTCCTCCCCTCACCCCAAACCAGTCATGGGAGATGGGTGCCCCTCCCTGAACCTGGTTCTGCTGGAGGTTTCTTTCTGTTAAAAGGGAGTTTTTCCTTTGCATGGTACCAAAGCACTTGCTCATAGGGTTGTTTATATGATTGCTGTGGTCTTTCCTGTTCTCTTTGTATTATTGTAAAGCACCTGGAGGCAACCACTGTTGCACGATATATTAAAAAAAAAAAAGAAAAAAAAGAATTTGAACTAAGTAGAAAATTAAATTAATCACCAGCACCGTGTCCTCTGGGTTAAAGAGGGAGACCTTCCAGCATGTTACCAGCATTCAGTTCAAAAGGTAGATTCTCTGATGATATTGGGGTACATAATTGCATACAGTATGGGCAGCTTGCATTTTTGGAAGGAACTATGAATGCTGAAAAGTATATAAAGGTTTCCCTATAGAGAAAATATGGCACATCATTAAACAAAAAATACGTTAAAGACAACCACAAACTCTTCAGCAGCTGGAAACCTATATCAGGCAAGAATGGGAATTCCAACACCAAATCTCCAGACTTATAACCTCTATGCCCAGACGTCTTCAAGAAGTTTTGAATAGAAGAGGAGATGCTACACCATGGTAAACATGCCCCTGCCCCAATTTTGAGACCAGTAGCAAGCATCAAATTTGAAATGAGGTAATTCTGTGCATAAGATTGTAAAACTTCTCAGTTTAAACATTTGTTATAGAATTTATGTTCTGTTGTGGATAAAATATTGGCTTGTGTCATTTTAAACTCTTTTACGTGTCATTTTGTTCAAATTCAAAGTTTAGACCCCCCCCCCCCCCCCCCAAAAAAAAAAAAAAAAACACCCCTAAAATCCAATTCTGACCAATTTTAATAACACAAAACTAACCTTTTTTTAAAAAAATTTTTTTATTTGTAGTGAACAATGACTGGCAGACAACCAATTTTCGACCCCACTGACGTGCCAAAACTGTATCCAACACTCACAATGTACTGAAAGGTATGATGAAGCATTCAAGGTATTTGATAACTGAACACCTGCATTTAAAACCATGAATATTAAAATCAATCAACTATAATCATTTTCAATCTGTTGGTTTACTCCAGATTAGTGAAGTCCAACACTGAGGAAGTGACGTGATAAGCAGACATTCATAGATCCAGCTCATCTCAAAAGGTGCTTGAGGGTCAAACACAGACAGATTCCACATGCTTGAAGTCTGTCTGTAAACGTTTGTCCATTGGGTGTTTGTTTTAAAGCAGTAGTAGTATTTGTTGAAGTTCTCATGATGTCAGTGGCCTCACTTTGTACTTTAACTTTGAGTGGATTAACTCAAAAACACAAAACATACAATGTTTTCACAAAACAACAAACACAAAGAAGTTTCTGTCAGTGCCTGATGGCACATTAAATATCTGTAATGTAAATCAATCCTTTGTTTCATCCATCACTCATCGACTTTGCGAGCTCGGCGGCAGAATGTCCAGTGATGTTCCACTGTGTTCTCATTAGCCCGTTCGCTCATGTGATGAACACGTGTGTTGCGTATCGTAAACCCCTGAAACATGAAGATGGACACAAAGTCATAGCACCACATTAAATCCAATTATATTATTGACTATATTTGGTTTTTAAGATAATTTATTTCTACACACAATGCTAGCGGTGAGCTAAAATAAAATGGACTCACAGATTTGGAGATGAAGTCGAGGAGGTGGACACGCAGGCTGACCTCCTGTTGGTGGTCACATGGCCCGAAGGTGAAGGACACCTGGTAATCTCTGGTGTCCATCATGTGTTTGTTCCATTTTGTGAAACTGCAGGAGATTGACTCCAGCATTGCATGGATCTGGAGAAAGAGAGAACTGTGTGAGTGGTTAAACTTTAACACCATCTCCACCAATTATGAGATTTTCTGGAGCAAATATGAAGATATTGACTCATCAATAGCGATAAAGCTTTCACCAAGGTAGGAGAAGGAGTTGAGGTTGTTACATATGTACAAAAGTACAGCTGTGCATCGTCAGCATAGCAATAGGAGAAGCCCTTGAAGCAGTTTAGTAGATGATCCAGGGTAATATGTATAAAGAAAACAGAACTGGATCAAGAATTGAGCCCTGAGGTACCCCTCACATGGGGGGCACAGATGAGGACAATGTAGTTATTAATAAGAATTCTGATGGATCTTTTAACTGAGTATGATCAGAGCGATCATAGTGGGGATCAGTGGGGACCCAGAATGCGGGCTCGACATGTTGTTCATATAGACTTCAAAGTAAAAATGTATACATAATATAATTATACAAAGTGGTAACAGAAAACCTTACAGTGCCTGCCTTCGTGACATACGTAGTTATTATTCATCTCCAATTCTCTTCTACAATTTGTCTTTTGTCCTTCTTTCTTTGTTAGGTAGATAAAATAGAAGAATAGGATTTAAAATTCAAAATAATTATCACGATAATTCAAAATACTGTTTGGGCTTCTTTTGTAGGTATACAGTGGAAGTAACACAAATTATGTCGCTTTTATCGGCACCTAGTAATTAAAACCTTAAAGAACACACCTAAAGGCTGTCAGCCTCTGTAACCATTTGCTTCCAAGTGACTAAATTTATACCCACATTCCAGAAGTGTGTGATTTACCATCAGGTACTGTATTTAAGTTTGTGTATCACAGTCAAAGCTGCTGTTGTTAATTTTTCAACATTGTATGCTAACCAACCCCAGTCGCAACTTAGTATTTTTTGTTATTACTAATGGAATATAGATTTTTAAATTATTATAATTTTTGTTTATCTGTCAGATTTTCTTCATTGTGTTGTCAGTAATTCCACAATAACTCAGACTGAAAATAATCTTAATGACAAATGAATTTAAGACTTTCAAAAGAAAGGATGCGATTGTCATGTGACTCTCGGTACTGTTAGCTGACATCAGAATGATTCGGTGGACCAGCATGAGGTTTGTTTAGAAAACACATTTCTCACTTAACAGTTTAAACATGAAATATTCACACACACACACAAAAAAAACACAAGTTACAAAAATTCACAAATATGCTCTTTGAATCTTAATCACAAAAACAGCTAGCCATTTACCTTATTGTTGTGCACTTATCATTTTATTACAGCAGTGGATAAATATGTTTAAACGGGCCACAAAGCTACAGGTCGTAATGTTATATTTCATTCAACCAGCAAAAGTTGCTTTTCTAATTTCATAACATTAGGATAAAATTATACATTTTTTTTGTTCCTGGTTAATATTATGTGTTTGATGCCTTATTGTCAACTGGTCATATGTCCAAAATCTACAAATTAATTCATCTTCAAATTCATGTTTTTATAGAGTGATCATCTGTGGGAGCAGCCGATCACATAACCACGGTATGAATTTCCTTCGGGATTAATAACACTCTATGAAAAAAAAATCAACTAACAGCTGACTTACTCCACAGCTGAAAGTGATTGCTGCATGGTAATACCTTACTGTCTAGTTTTTTAACTTCTTACTTTCTTAAAAGTGCATCCCCAGCTAGTGTATGTTGCTAACTTTCAGGAACAATTGCGAGACACTATGATACACCATTGCCCTTAAAAAGATTTTTTTTTAAAAAATTGGTCCATTTTTATGAACGGAGAAGATGCGACTCTCTATTCAACATCTCTGAGTATAAACCCATTTGAGAGCAGTTCCAGAGATACCAAACCCGCTGTTAATCTGTCTAGATCTGTCAGTGGTGTCTAAAACTGAAGATAAGTCCTAGAGGACTAAAATGGAATATTCACACTTATCTGGGTTCAAAAGAATATCATTAGCAATTTTTTAATAATACTGTTTCAGTGCTGTGGTTTCATTAGTAACCAGACTTGAATTTATCAAAGATATTGTTTCCCTGACAGGTCTATCAAGAATTTTTTAATTGAATGCAAGTTTAGAAATGGTTCTGTAATTGGGATCTAGAGAGTGTTTTTAAGCTGAGGGAAGACAATGTTTTGCAGTAATATAGAATGCAGCCAGATGAAAGGAAATGATTTATTTTAGACGAGGAAAGATGACTGGCAGAACATCATTAATAAATTTAGGAGGGACGTCAGCTTGGAAGGAAGAAGTACCTATGTGGGAGACTATATTTTAAGGAGATCTTGGAAATCAGATAAAACTTGGAAAATAAAACTTGAAGAGACAGTTGATCAGATGAAAAGGATCAAGACTTTTCCATTGTCTTCTACGGCAATGAATCTAATCTGTTGGGCTTTTATCAGAACTATGCTATTGAGAACTGATGAACATACACTAACAAACCAATGAACTAAATCACTAAATTAAAAAAATAAAATAAAATTAGGTGTTGATATGGGCAGATTGGAAAGAAGAGCTGAAAACCTAGCTGCCGAATTCTCATTAATGATACAAGACTGAGGAGTTTGCTTCTGGGAAGACTGGGAAGAACACTGGCTCTGAAAAAAAAATTATGCAGTCATGTGAAATACAATAAAATTATGGAGTCAAATGAAATATTCTTAACTGTGATAGGATTAAGAATATATATATATATATATAAAAAAAGCTTTAGACTTCAAACTACAATCTCCTGCTCTGAAGTCCATTTCTCATCTTAAACACGGAACAACATAACAGGTTTTTAGTGATCAGATTTATGAGCAGAGAAGCAATGCAACAAATACGAAAGGGTTAACATGAAGCTAGACATAGCTTCAATGTCTGATCATAGCCATTTAATATTCAAATAACTTGTCAATCAAATATCATATTGAAACAAAAAGAAAAGAAAGGCATGCATTTAATTTCTCCACTTCATTAATCCAACAGATAGACTGGCTCCTCAAAGAGAAAACTGACTGAAGCTTTGTGCAGCCATCTGTCCTACTACAGAGCACTTTCTGCTGTCACACCACACCCACTGGGGAGATAATGTCGATGTTTCACCCATGTTTGCTGAGAGAGTGAAGATTTATTGCTGTGGAAGCCTTGAAGGAAAAATGTAATCCTCAAAATAACAATGATGCTTTTTTGAGGAGTTGAGCAACAAAACTTGTCACACAAGTACATTTTAGTCCCCTGAAGGTTCTAATCTATATCAGATATTATGTCATCGTATTGCCTAGCAACAATCTAGCAATGGATTAAAATGACCTGTGTTTACCTTTTATACATCTATAATGCCTTATAAAGAAAGTTTATCTTATGACAATAACACCCTCCATCCATCTAAATCTACAGCTTCACTTGTCCTCAGCTGTCCCCTCCTGGTGACACTCCTGAAACATCAATCTGTCTGTAAAGCTCCAGTTTCCCTCTCCCCTCTTGAACAAGATCCTTAGATATTTAAACTCCTTTGCTTGGGGGAGCAGCTCATCCCTGACCTGGAGTGGACACCTATCCATTTCCTGCTGAGGAAACCTAATTTTTAATTAACAAAAGCTGAATTATGCATGGTATATTATGATGCAATCACATTGCCTGGTAATCACCCAGCAACTGCCTTCTTATTGCCTTTATGCATCTACAACAGCTCACAAAAACATTTTGTTTTTTCCTTTTTTTTTGTATAATTTCAACAACATCTCATTTATATCTACAAAATTTGAATTATAGACTTTTAGCAGGCTATAATGTACATGTTTGATAAAACAGCTTGGACACTCGAGTTAAAACTCCCTCTCTTGACATTGATTAATCTCTTAAAACTAATTTCTGTTCATCAGAATTACATATTTAGAGTTTTTGTCCTCATTTACACAAGTAACTCAACACTTCTGGCTCTTTTAGTATTCATGAATCTATGAATATAACATCAGCCACCGACTCCTTTGCTTCCTTCCCCACCTCCAGAGCTTTCCTCTGCTTCTGTGAGCCCCTCTCACAAGTTTCAAGCCACATGAAGGGAGACCCAGTGCCAGTCTACACTGCTGAAGTGTGCCTTTCATTATGCAGGCAAGGAAAAACCTGAAGCAAAGTGTGAAAATCAGGAGGTCACAAATAGAAGAAAGAGTGCTGTTCTAGGAGTCAGGGTAAAGAAGTTTAACACTTCTTGGAAAGCTTTTACTGCACACTTAAGGTATCGTCAGTTCACCCATCTGTAAGGTGCTTTCACATGGGCTGTGATTTGAAACATGTTATTTTCAGTGGTTTCCACCTTGCAACGATGGTCTGGTGCTGTGCTGAGTAAAGTGCAACTGCAGCACAGCTTGGGAGATCCTGTGGATTTGAAGTTTGCCATCAGTATCATGGCATACAAAAAGGCACCTAGCCAAGCTAATTTTATAAGTCTGAATTACCAAAATTACACAACACATGTTGAGTTTGTATTGAGACCACAGGAGGAAAACCCTTCCTTGAAAGGGTTTGCATTAAAATAAAATATACACAACAAATGTGCTAACAGTCCTTGAGAAATGTACATAAAGCGTAGATGTGTTATGAACACTGTGTGGATCCCAATATAGAGGTTTCAAACCTTTGCAGTTCAGGTTTCAGCACTCTCTCACCTCTTATTCACTTTGAACATGATGGTGCAATTTGTTGCCAAACTGAATTGTGGATTGTGGAGTTGGGAAATGATTAACTTTTCTAACAGGATCCAATATAATGAAGTTATGAAAATCCCTCACAGAATAGAGAAGATGTTGCTTGTGCAGCCTGTTAGCCGTCCAGCTTCTGGGCTACAACCCGCTACAGATCACAGAAAATTAGGATTAATGTATAAATTTAAAACATGTATTTAAAATTTTGTAGGAAAAAGCAAAAAATACTGGTAGCTGCTTCTCCTCAGTCTCCTAGTAGATGTACCTCAGCTTTATATTTGAAAGTCCTAGGTCAGCGGTCCCCAACCCCCGGGCCTCGGACCGTGAGTCGTTTGGTACCGGGCTGCGAGAGTTGAGGCTCAGGTGTGAAATGTATGGTTTTCAGGGTTTTTATCGGTTTTCAGCGTTATTTTGTTATCATTTTTATCGTGAACTTGGTTTTCCTGGGTCTTTTCACGTGTGTTATGAATAAATCTTCTTTTTTTCGGTACCGGTACTAGTTTTATTTTGTTGTATTTATCCGCGACACCTTAAAGGCCGGTCCGTGAAAATATTGTCAGGCATAAACCGGTCCGTGGCGCAAAAAAGGTTGGGGACCGCTGTCCTAGGTCATTTGCAGAAAAGTTGACCTCTGACTTTGAACTTACTGTAATTGTCGGGCTATAAGCCGCTACTTTTTGCACAAGCTTTGAACCCTGCGGCTTTTAGTCAGGTGCGGCTTTTCTATGGATTGTCCATGATTTTTGTCATATCGTAAGACGATTTGTTTTGTTTGTTCCGCTGCTGTACGGCACTACGTTGCCTGGCGGAAGGGAATGTGATCAGACACACAGTATCGGGGTTCAAGGGTGGTATGTTGGTCACATGTCCATCCGCCAGGCAACATAGTGCCATACAAGTAGCGCGAAAAACAAACTTCAAAGTAGCGCTACGCGTTCAGCGGGAGGCGTGGATGATGTGCGGCGATAAACTTGCGAAAAGCAAGTTATGCCCAACTCCACCGGTGGAATCTGACAGCGTGGAAAAGTGTGAAAACATCCATGATCACCAACGGATTTCGAAGGGCTGGACTGCTGCATGATGGAGAGGAGGACACCGCCACGGCCCTTCAGAGGGTGTTCGACTCTGACACTGACAACGAAGTAAAGAAGCTGAGAGTGGATGACGAAGCCACCCTGAGCCTGTTCGTTTCCGACACTGGAGAAGAGGACTTTGGTGGTTTTAGTGCGCAGGAAGATGGTGGTGAATGACTGACTTTTCTTCTTGTTAAAGCCGTGTCACAGCACCTGAGCCTAAAAGGTAGTCCAATCTATTTTTCTGGTGTGCTGTAGGTTATTGTTATGTACTACATTTGTTACTCATTTATGAAGCGCAGTTAATGTGCAAATATGTACCCATAACTTGTTTTTCAAAAATATTAATAAAAGGGATGTGTCTCCAAACAGCCATCTCTTTCCTGGCATTTCGCTTTGTGCATATTCTCTTACATATGATAAGTCAACATTGAAACACCTGCGGCTTTTAGTCAGGTGCGGCTAATGTATGTACAAAACAGGATTTTCCCCTGATTTTAGCTTGTGCGGCTAATATTCAGGTGTGCTTTGTAGTCCGGGAAATACGGTAAGTAAAAGTAAGTAAAATTTATTTATATAGCACATTTCACAGATAAAAATCACAAAGTGCTTTACAATAAGATCAGACATACAAGTTAAAATTAATTAAAAGCCCGTTTGTATAAAAATGTCTTCACCTGCTTTTTAAAGGAGTCAGTAGAGTCTAGACAGCGTAAAGACAACGGCAGAGAGTTCCACAGCCTAGGTGCCAGCGCCTGAAAAGCCCGATCCCCACGTGTTTTAAACCTAGTACGTGGGACCACCAGTAGCCTCTGACTTGAAGACCTAAGTGCTCGGGATGAAGCATGAGGTTTCAGCAGGTCAAAGATATACTGGGGAGCTTCACCGTGCAGAGCTCTAAAAGTTACAACTAAAATTTTAAAATGAACCCTAAAATTTACAGGCAACCAATGAAGAGAAGCCAAAACTGGAGTAATGTGTGACCTCTTGTTTGTACCAGTTAAAAGTCTTGCCGCTGCATTCTGTACAGACTGAAGGCGATCCAGAGCTGATTTGTTGAGACACGTAAAAAGACCGTTACAATAATCCAAACGAGAAGAGATAAATGCATGAATAATCATCTCAAGTTCTGCCTTTGACACCAGTAGCCTGAGTTTAGAAATGTTTCTTAGATGATAAAAACAGTTCCGGACAAGTTGTTTAGAGTGTTTAGATTGTTTAGAACTTGAGGTCAAGGTCACTGAGATTCAAACTCATCCAAGGTTTTTAGTAGTTGTGTCTATGGTATGAATTTCAAAATCCTATGTCATCTCACTCTCAAGTTATTGCATTCACAACCTTGGGTGTCCACGCTGTCTACCTGCCCAGTTGGGTCATGAAAATACGCCATCAATTCACTTATGATTATGGGTCAGGCTTCTTCATCAGATGTGGCCTCCAGCTTGCACTGGAACAGTTTGCAGCTGAGTGTGAAGCAGCAGGAATGAGAATCAGCACTGAAGTCTGAAGCCATGATCCTCAGCTGGAAAAGGTTGGAGTACCCATGCCAGGCCAGGAACGAATTACTACCCCAAGTGGTCGACTACTGGTGATGGCCAGAGGGGCTGATGGCGCGATATGGCAGCCTCGCTTCTGTCAGTCTGCCCCAGGGTAGCTGTGGCTACAACTGTAGCTTGCCTCCACCAGTGTGAATGTGAGAGTGAATGAATAGTGGAATTGTAAAGCGCTTTGAGGGTCCCAAAAAGCGCTATATAAATGCAATCCATTATTGTTATTATTATAAGTGAAAGAGTTTAAGTATCTCAGACTCCTGTGAGGGGAGAGGGCATGTCCCACCGAGAGGAGGCCCCGGGTAGACCCAGGACAGGCTGGAAAGATTATATCTCTTGGCTGGCCTGGGAACACCTTGGTGTTTCCCCAGATAAGCTGGAGGAGGTGGCTGGGAAAAGGGAGGCCTGGGTTTCCCTGTTTAGGCTGCGCGTCCACATTGAAATGGCCGAAAACACTTACGTTCCAGTACTGCGCGTGCGTGAAACGCAAGAAGATTTGACCTGCCTCATTTCTGTCTGCTGCTTATTTACTTTCCGGCTCTTTGAAACGTCGTGGCAAAATGTTGAGGAAAAGCACCGAGTTTTTTAAATGGACTAACTATGAGGTGGAGTTTTTGCTGCCAGTAACACAAAAGTACAAAGTTGCAAAAGATAGTTAAAGAATTTGAAGAAAAGCTATCTGGAGCATGTACAGACTGATATTAATCTTTAATAAGGCTGTTAAAATTGAGAGCAAACAAAACAACTGCTGTCTTACTTTAATTGGTCACATGACTGCATCATATGACTAACATGCGTCATCATTTTAGAAAGTTTGCATTTTCGCTGTCCACACTGCGACGCAAGAGCAGTTTTGCACGTTTTCAAATGTATGCGTTTTCGAGAGTGAAAACGCCATCTCGGTGTGGACGGGAGGCCAAAATGAAGAGAAAACAACGCACCCAAAGCTACTGTTTTTATTGTTTCTTCACCACTTCCAGGTGTGAGGACAGTGAAGAGAGAAAAAAACAAATACTGCAGAGTCATCACACTCTTCAGAGTCTGTTTTAAACTTCAGTGAACGTAGAAAGATATTCAACAATTTAAGATTCCGGAATTAATAATATATAAGGGGAACAATTGCAATACTGTAAATGTTAACTTCACACAGTGTACTTTTTCCAAAAAACACGTCACATCACTTATTTTGTAGTGGTTAAACTAGTTAAAAGAAATAACCTATTATAGGAGTCCCAAATTAGTTATGGTAAAACTGTAATAATTAATATTATTTTTTAAAAAGTAATATTTCCACTCAGCATGTATAGACACTCAATGGAAAATGCAAAAGCAGTAGCAGAACTTAAAATTTATGAATCAGGCATTAAGCATAAAAAAACGAATCAATTTTATTTAAAATTGTTTGTTTTTTTCTAGAAGCAGACTCAGAAGCAGTCTAAAGGAAAAATAAATAAATAGATATACTGTAAAATCTGCTGTGATAGATCAATACAGCCTGACCAGGCCTTTTCCCACTGACCTTGGTGGTGATGGTGAGCTGGGTGATGATGACTGCAACAGGATTGGAGTACTTGGAGAGCTTTCTGGTGCTGGACAACTCAACCACCTCTTCGTAGCTGTCTGTGGGGTAGGGCAGATGCGGCTTGGGGTCTCCCAGGCACTGGATAAGGGGCTCAATCTGATAGAAGTCAGCCTCCTTTCTTAGCAGCTCCGTCTCCTTGAAGTCACATGGCAATGTGAGCTCTGACGTCCGCAGGAAGTTGAGGATGTAGCTGAAATAGCAGAACCAGAGACAGGATTAGTCAAGACTGCTGAGCCAACAATTCTGAGCTGTCAGTTAAAGTTGGGGCAGGAGAGCTGCTAAATGATGTGCAAGTAAGCTAAATAATCATGTTTCATACTTTTTTTTTTCCTAATGTTCACTCTATATGACATTAAAGAGATGTTATATAGATTGGGGTGGCTGTGGCTCAGGTGGTAAAGCATATCAGCTACTGATTGGAAGGTAGGTGGTTCAATCCTTGGCTTCCCCATGCCAAGTATCCTTGGCCTAGTTGCTCTCCGATGCGCTCATCGGAATGTGAATGTTGGTTAGACTGAACTTGAGTTTAGAAGCGCTTGTATGAATGGGGTGAATGAAACATGTTGTATACAGTGCTTTGAGTACTCCAGGAGAGCAGAAAAGCGCTATATAAGAATCAGTCCATTAAAGAGAGCATATTCCTAATCATTGTCCAACAAAAGGTTTTCCCCACTGACTTTGATTTATTTATATACTACAGTGGAGTCTAATATGTGAAAAAGCACCATTTAGTAGATTTATATGTTATTTTAATAATCTGTCCATCCAGTGCATCCATCGTCTACCACTGGTCCAGGTCCTGGAGGATGCTATCTAAGCAGAGATGCCCAGATCTTCCTCTCCCAAGCTAACTTGTCTAGCTCTTCAGCGAGGCATTCCCAAGTCAGCCAAAAAAGCACAGAGGGAGATGTACTAAGCGGGACAAATTAGTCTAAGGTTGCAAATGAACCAATGGGAATGGAAAGTTTTCCAGGTGATCTGCCAACAATTTGCTTGTTTATATAGAAGGACATCCCCGAGTGGGACTCACCCAATTATTGGAGTTGATTCTAATTTGGTTGTATTCTAGTTTGTGTGAATGGGAGTATAAATGGTTGTCTGTTTCTCTGTGTATGTCCTAGAACACACTGGCAACCTGTCCCGGGTGTACCCCATTTCTTGTGCCATGGCAAGACAGGCTCCATTCCCCACAACCCTGAATTAGATAAGTGGGGGGAAAAAAACAGATGGATGGATGGCTATACCAAGACGCAGCCACTTTATTTCAGTAATGACTGGCATTCTGCCAAGAGCAGCACAAATTAGCAGGTCATAAACAAACAGAGCCAATGAGGAAACGAGTAAAATACTGATAAAAAAAATTACAGTGTAAATGCAGAGTTTATCAATTTGTTTCTTTCTTCAAAGAGCAAGGCAATTTAGATCAGTGAGAGGAAGCTAAAGGAAAAATCAATGGTTCTATCGTAAGGGCTAACTCATCTGTTAAAAAAAGAAATAGCTAGAGACTGTGTGTGGATAAAGGTGTGTAAATTCTGGATGAATCTGTATTCTTGTATCCCTCAGACACACCACATTAATTTCTGCTCTGTTTCACTGAAATTTTAGCATTACTGAGGACTAGACAGACAAACATTCAGGTTAAGGACGCAAAGCTTTAAGAGAGAGACAATGTTTTGCATTGTGCTGACAGCTTTGAGCCATCCACCTGTGCCAATTACACACTTATTCTGATAAACTCTCCCTCCATCATCACACATGAAAGAACAATCCTAGTGGCAACACATACATATCAGTCACAAACTACGATGCTTTTTCGGTATTAAATCGAGCACAGTCTAATGCCACATACCTATATCAGGTCTGTGTGATTTATTTAAATAATGTCCTCCTAAAATGTTGTGTTATGAAAGGAAAACTCATAAATTCTTATGAAAGAATTAACAGGCTGCAGAATTTCCCTTGGTCCCCCAGCAACCACCACATTCTTGTCAGATGCCCAAACCAGCTACTAGCAAATTATTCTTTTTATTTCAATGTGTTTCATTTTTGTTTTTGTTTTTGTTCTGGAGGTTTGCGAAGGCCTCAGCAACTCGAGTCCCCTGAGCCCAGCCTCTCTTTCATCATGAGATTTTTGGACTCATTTTTCATTCAGCCATGCTTCACAGAATCCCAGGAGGTTTTGAGAAGAACAGAATAACATAGTTCAGGGTCAGACTGAATAAAATGTTGATTCTTTTTTCCATTAGTTAACTGCAGGGGTCGGCAACCCTAGGCACGTGTGCCACAGTTGGTACGCGAAGGGTTAACTGATGGCACGGCCATAGCTGGACTGATCATCGGGCATACCGGGCATTTGCTCGGTGGCCCGATGATTTTTTTTTTATTATTATTTTTGTAACGGTATAAACAATGAAAGGTGTTGGATTGGCCAAATGCTGGCCGGTGTGTAAAAATAACTCAGCTGTTTGGTGGTGGCATTGCGGAGCTTCCACAGATTCAGTAACATTAACAAGTGGTGGAGGCCAGCATGTGGATGAGGGAGATCGGAGGCAGGACGAGGAGAGACCCGAGGCGGCCGCTGGTCCGAGCGTCAGGTGAACTGAACTTCAGGTAAGAAGTTATGACCTGCAGTCTATCTGGGTCAGATATAAACCAAGTTTAGGTGGAGTTTATTTTCGTTGTGCTGACTTTTTACAGTCAGTTACAATAACTCGTACTGCGTACTAGCTAGCATGACGGAGTTTCTATACAGCTGGGTGGGTGCTTTGATGTTACTGATGTTGAACTTTAATTCATAAGGTTAGTTAGTAGAGTTACCAACCGTCCCGTAAAAAGACGTAATCCTCCCGCATTCAGAGAAATTATTACGCGTTTTGTGTTGAGCTGAGAGGGGACGCAGTTTGTCCTGGGCTTCAGCTAGAATGAAAAAGGACACAAAGGTTGAGTTATTCTTTGTCTTTGCTGCACAGCTGCCTCTTCTTCTCTCATTCTCTCCCTTCCCTCTCCTGTTGTTACTTCAATCACGAAACTGATCAATGATCAGCTGATCGGCTTTTCTCTCGTTTGTTTATCGCCCACTTTGCGCCAGAAAGAAGAAACCGGCGGATGTCGCGCTAAACAACAGCAGCATGTTTAAGCTTGATCAGCTGTTGTTAGAATTTATTTAATATTAATTTCTAGTATCAGCTGAGGTTTGCTGGAGCCACAGCTGTAAAAGCTGCTGGTCATGATATCGGTTTGTATATCTGGTGAGAGGGAAACATGAAGATGAAACCAGGAGATGTCCTTACTGAATCATCACAGCTGAACAGGTGATGGAAAAACAGGTTTACCTTTTAGGTGACATGAATGAGTTGAAGGGAAGTTATGAACTGTTTCTGACAGACAAATAACACCAATATCATTTTCTAAGTAGCTGACAGCTGGTAACTGTCCTCTTCTTAATGACGGTATCTTAACTAACCACCCCAACTACCAGACTAAAAATAACTTAGCCTACTGGTAAGACGGACGTTGTTAGCTTTCCACATTCCGACACTTCAAAAGCTTCAGCAGCTTTCCGCTCAGCACAGCATCAGCACCACGGAAATACACGGATACATCTGTAGACTTGAGACACAATGCATTTTTGGGACTTTCAGGTGTATGGACCAATGTTTTATTTTCTGATCAAACCAGAAATCGTTAATGAGCAGCTAGATTTGTCTCGCATTAACTGGCTGAGTTAATGCCAGTTAATGCAACATCGAAGCAGCTGGAATCCACAGCTGTGCGTGTTCATGGAGCTGCATTTTCACCGGCTGGACATCACTACCTGACAAGTTTAACTGTCTTCAGAACATTGCAGAGGCCTTATTGACAGTATTTGGCTCTACATATCTGTGTGAGCAGATTTTCTCTCACATGAGTGTCCTCAGGTAGCCGTCTGAATGCTGGACACGCCGAGACCTGTGTCTCTGAGTGGGAGACCAGAGATCATATTAGCATGTGTGTCTCTGTATTAACAAACATGCCATATCGGCTTCGTTTATTTTTCTTATCATTGTTGTGAGGAGACCATAAATAGCATTTGTATTTTCCGTTGTACAGTTCATTTGCTGTTATGGAGTTCTTGTTATGGATAAAAAGTGTCTTTTTTTGTTTCAAAATAGCTGATAACTATTCGCTGATAGCTGCCAACATCTGCGAACAAATATTATTCTATAAAGTGGTTCTATATAGTGTGTAACTGTTAATATAGAGCGTTATTAAATTTATTGCTAATGCAGTCATGTGGCACACTGACCTCTGAGGAAATTTTAAATGGCACTCGCTATCAGAATGGTTGCCTACCCCTGGTTTACTGTATTTGCAGCTGTTGAAAAAAAAATTGATGATTACTGCCATTAGGTTCTGGATGTATTAAACAGACATACTATGTTTAATACAAAGGTTTCTTTAAAGTCCTTTAGTCAAAGGCTTTTGTTGGTTGGGCTAGACTGTGTATTAACGTTAACTGTTACATAGCAAAGAGAGCTTATGTTAACCAAAGAGTTTTCACAGGTATTCTTGTGGTTGGCCAGCAGGGGAGACTTTCGGCAGCGGATAATGAGCCTCTTTGTTTCAGCCATCTACACAAAACATAGCAAAAAACCCCAAACAAACAAAAAAAAACAAAAAAAACAAACAGGTACTAAGTTGAGTGTAGCCCAAATATAAATAGTAATTAGTTAAGATGTCTTATCATACTATTGTAATAATAAGTTTAAGCCAGAGTAAAATCTGTTTTACTAGATTTTAGTAATTTCCTAATTGCCTACTGGTGATGGCCAGAGGGGCCGATGGCGCGATATGGCAGCCTCGCTTCTGTCAGTCTGCCCCAGGGTAGCTGTGGCTACAACTGTAGCTGCCTCCACCAGTGTATGAATGTGAGAGTGAATGAATAGTGGAATTGTAAAGCGCTTTGAGGGCCCCAAAAAGCGCAATCCATGACTTTGCTCAGCCAATCGGATGGCATGTAGGGTCATAGTAAGCCTGTCCCGGCTTCCTCCCGTCAGATGTGTGGAGGCAAGCCAGGTGACAGAGCTGTTGCAGGTTTGTATTGGCAAACACTTGCTTTTCCCGTTTTTAATGCATTTTTTTAACACCAACTAACTTATGCGACTTAGATGCTGATTACTGTGAGCCAGAGCCGTAGTGTTGTTGTGCACT